GTTGGGTGGGCCAGATTTGACAAGCTTTTTACTCTATTCAACTATCATCCAGGTGCATAGCTCGAATTTAAAGCCTATATTTTTCAGTTCCATGAAATATGGTGAACACAACTCATAGTAGCTTATAACATCTGATACTATTCTGAAATGTTAAGAGCTGACTATCTAAAAATGGGGTCATACCTTAAATAAGCGGCTAGCGGAATTTTCACCAAAACTCGGACTTGTGGAATCCCAAAGTACAGAAAAATTTGTCTCTTCGGCTCAGGTCGATTCCAAACTAAATATGTCTGGATGTGCAAATCTTCCCAATTAGAGCCTCATCAGAGTTATAGTATGATTATTTCTGGAAATGAGGAAGTATGAGAATATTTAATGAGTATTGTATCCTGATTCATAACTAATAAAAACTAATAATCCCCTAGGTCTTATGAGGTGAGGAAGTTCTGATAGTTGAAATTTTCCAAAATTAAATAAATTGGCCTCACTGCACCGGTGAATTTCACTTAGCCTTGCCTCTCCCAAGGTAGTATCACCAAGGATTGACCATCGTTTCGACCTAGCCTTGTTTTCATCCGAACCTCCAATGTTAGGAATCATGCAGGAAAATATTTGTTTCACTATACGGGCTCGAATCCTGTTTGGGATGCTGATAAGGCCCAGATGATCCTAAAACTGTAGTTCACCTTTGAATTCGTGAGGTTTAACTTTCACAGTTGCAAAATTCAACTATCAAACCTTAGGCAACTTATGTGACTTAGAATGTTTACATTTCATAGTAAAAATCTATCAGTATTATCAAAACACACTCTTTATGAACGTTTTGATTAGTTGTGCCAAGTCACAGCACGACCCTCGTCAAACAGGATTATCATCTTCACATCCCCTTGCTCCATCTGATTACAAGCAAATAATCTACTCGAAGATATGAAGATGGTGTGGTGTTTTTATTTGTCGCAGTCTCCTTTTGGGGTATTGAAGTGTGCTGACCTCGTTGTCTCAACTTGGTCGTGTTGTCAGGACGATCATTTTGGACGCACCTTGTCCAAATTCCTCTGCAGCTTAATGCTGATAATGGCAAGACTCAGTGACGATGCCGGGAATGTACCAAGTCCACAGTCCGACTTCGGATAAGGTGTGTCCAAATAGGCCTACCTGACGACACGACCAAGTTGCGAAAGCGAGGTCAGCCCATTTGTAAACAACCTAATGTTCATAACTTCAGACTATCAATGAACTATGCTTTATCTGCTAAAACTAGCTATCCGGTCGAAATAGACCTGCATTTTTGCAGCTACAAAGGTATCTTCAATTTCGGTATTTAAAAAGCTGGAGGCATTTGAGGATCCAAACTAAGTGGTGAACTTCACCACCAGATATACGCTAACAGTGAACACGTCTTGCCACTAAGTGCCGGTTGAGTGGGCCAATGATAGAAAGTTTGTCCAGTGGGAAGTACACCGACTAGCAGTTGCCCTAGCGAAGCTGATCGACTCTTCAAGCCCACGGTAACTCGGTGCTTCATGAGTATCTGAGGCGAAATGATTTTGCTAACAGGTCAATGCAACTAGGGCCAACCTTTGTCACGTCAAGCCTATAATTAACTCTTTCATCTAGAGCAAAATCACAGCCTAAAATAGTACGGATCAGGACGCAAAGCAATGCCAATCAGCATCACTGCACATCTCGACTTGCCCACTGCCTCTCAGGCAGGTCGGGAGGAGTTCGTTTTATCTGAACTAATGTGGCCTTCACAAGAGCTTTCAAGCCCATCTTCATCTACAACAATGCAGCTTCACTTTGTCCCGAACTTTCGCCCGTCAAAGCTTCTTCTCGCAAAATCTCAACTTGCCCATATTCCATATCCCTTTTTTTAGGTGGGCCAGATTGCTGGCCTAGCATCGTTACTATCAACTGTGATACTCTTTCCTGTTCACGCTCTGGCAGGCCGCCATAATCACGCTCTCGTCTTCCAATGACTTAAGAAAATGTCCCGCTTTGATCTTCAGCCAAACTAACGCACACCGATTCGGTTGAGTGAAGAAGTGGAACTGAAAATAGGCATACAGTATTTGTCTGTTGAAGGAAGCGAATCATAACAATAGGGTGTATTTGGCATGAGACAAAGCATGCTATGAACACTACTACCTGCCCAAAGCGGTTGAATGCATCCTCTGGAACCCCCTGAATGTTCCACTCGGCGCTCCGGTCAAGCTCTTTGGGTCCCTGTCATCTTCCTCACTTCAACATCAGATCCAGTTTTGGGATCTCAATGCGATCCTCTATCCGATGAAAGATTCTATATTCCTCCTTATCCTACTACTACTGCTACTACAACTACTAGTAGAATTTGGCGACACACCGCCGCTTCAGTGCACAACATAGACGAGATCAAAGTACAATCCAGTCTGAATGATGAAACCCTTTTGCAGGCAAGTCTAAACACGATTCCACAGCAAAAAACAAAATCTACGGATAAGTCTAAAAAAATGTGATGGCCTTAATGCTGGAATACCTTTAGGTTCGTTTAAAAATGCGGGTAGAAGGAATCTCAACTTGGCTGCACCGGACACCGGAGGGTTGGCTTGGACTTGTGACTGTTGGATTGTGCAAAGAAAACTTTGCCTCACCGTCTTGCGATCTGTTCTGAGCATTCATTCGTGATGTGGCGGACATTGTCAGTGCAATATACTACCAGCTACGAATAATCACCCCAAAACACTAAGCCATGAAAGGTGGTCGGCTAAAATTATATTCCTTATACCTCACTTTAACATCTTAATGAGGCATTCCATTACAAAAAACCCAGCTTCTCTTCATTTCCGTAATGGACTAGTCTGGTCAATAATTTCTTGGTCTTTGCGTATAATAACGGATCAAGAAAAGAATGGAGACTGTCCCTACTTCGTATGTATTAGGGAAAACTGGGTTTTGAATAATTCCTTAGTGCTTTGTTGTAAGTTGACACCCCATCTCGAAGGGAAGGTTCGTATCAGCAGAAACAGGAAGGAGGATTGCCTTGAAGTAAAGACAATTGGGCTGTGCAAGGAAGTCTTCGGCTCGTCGTCTTGCGACCCTGAAGAATCCGTGCTAAGCTTTTGCCTCTCATGTGACGGACCTCGTCAGAGCGAGCAACCGTACTTTACCAAAAAAT